GGCTAAACCAGCCTGGGTGGAGTGGCTGTTCCACAAGCTGAGGAGGAGGCAAGTTACCTCAGGCCGGAGAGTCCGGCCGGAGTTTCTGGCCCTTACCGGCGAGCTGACGGCTGTTCTCTCGTTGCAGACAAAGGGGATGGTTTGTGCCAGAGGCTGATCGCGCCGTGCATATCCCTGGTTCCCCAGAGGCCCTGGGCAAAGGACGAATGGGAAATCCCACGGGAGTCTCTCAAACTTGTGAAGAAACTTGGCGCGGGGCAGTTTGGAGAAGTCTGGATGGGTAAGTGCAACGCCCCCTCGCCCCACCGAGTCAGCCCCGGGCACCGCGCGGGAGCCACAGGAAAAGGGAACCCTTGTTTTCTGAGAATTGTCCCGAGTGCAGGGGCCTTGCTAGGACCTGGCCGACTGCTCATAGGGGAGGCTAGAAGCTCAAGAGCAAGTGCTGGAAGACTAAGGCTGTGTCTAGACTGGCCAGATTTTCTGGAAAATCAGCCGCTTTTCTGGAAAAACTTGCCAGCTGTCTACACTGGCCGCTTGAATTTCCACAAAAGCACTGACTTCCTACTGTAAGAAATCAGTGCTTCTTGCGGAAATACTATGCTGCTCCCGTGCGGGCAAAAGTCCCTTTTTCACAAAGCTTTTGTGCAAAAGGGCCAGTGTAGACAGCTCAGATTTGTTTTCCGCAAAAAAGCCCCGATGGCGAAAATGGCGATCGGGGCTTTTTTGCGGAAAAGCGCGTCTAGATTGGCCACGGACGCTTTTCCGCAGAAAGTGCTTTTGCAGAAAAGTGTCCGTGCCCATCTAGACGCTCTGTTCCGAAAATGCTTTTAACGGAAAACTTTTCCATTAAAAGCATTTCCGGAAAATCGTGCCAGTCTAGACGGAGCCTAAGGGTGCTGTTACCAGCATAGAAACATAGAACACTAGAGCTGGGAGGGACCCTGAGAGTCGTCGAGTCCAGTCCCCGGCCCTCATGACTGCACCAAGCACCGTATAGACCATCCCTGATAGATGTCTACCTGACATGCTCTTAAATATCTCCAGTGACGGAGGTTCTACAACTCCCTAGGGAACCCGTCCCAGGGCTTCCCCACCCTCCTAGGGAGATCGTTTGTCCTAATCTCCAACCTAGACCTCTCCCACCACAACTTGAGCCCATCGCTCCTTGTTCTACCACCTGCCCCACTGAGAACGGCCTCTCTCCAGCCTCTTTGGACCCCCTGCAGGGAGTGGACGGCTGCTACCAAATCCCCCCTCGCTCTTCTCTTCTGCAGACTACACAAGCCCAAATCCCTCCTCATAAGTCAACCCACTATCACGTCCCCCATGCTCAGCACATGGCGGGGCCCACCTCAGCTCTCCCACCATCTCTTCCCATGCTGATCCCAATTCATTTGTCCAGCTACCTGGGAATAAGGCATGTTCACCCTTAAGGTCTCTCTCCAGCTTGGAGCGTAGGGATGGAGAGAGCCGACAGGAGCTCTCAGAAAGCGAGTGTTTGTACGTTCCCATGAAAGTGAGGGGTTTAGATAAGGGTGGTCTTTGGAAGAATCTCTTCACGATTCTCCCATCATTCCCCGGGGGAAACTGAGGCACGCATTGCCTGGCTCCCAGGGACTTGTTCCTCGCCCAGCAAAGCTGCAGCAGAACAAAGAGTTGCCCCTGTTGTTCCAAGCCACCACTGTGACCGCGGGACCCTCCTTTCCCTTTCGTGGCAGGCTATTATAAGAACAATGTGAAGGTGGCCGTGAAGACCCTCAAGGAGGGCGCCATGGCGCCCGACGCCTTCCTGGCCGAGGCAAACTTGATGAAGATGCTCCAGCATGACAAGCTGGTCCGGCTGCACGCCGTCGTCACCAAGCAGCCCATCTACATTGTCACCGAGTACATGGCCAACGGTAAAGACCCTGCCCGGGCTTCCTTCTTGAGGCATTGGGGGCTGAGGTCAGGCCCGGGTTTGGGGCTTGGGAAAATCCCACGGAGGCTGCAACCTCCCCGAAACGGGCATTTTGTTCCACCTCCGCTCTGCCCCGAGTAGGGATGTAAAGTCCCGTTTCATTGGCTAACCGGTTACATGGTATGTTTAACCGCTGAACCCAGGAAAAGGGGGTGGGGAGGAGGCCGCTCCAGCCCTGCTGGGTTGGAGCGGCCCCCTCCCACCTGC